GGGAGTGTGCGTGTGGGTCTGTGTGTGCGCGCGTGTCTGTGTGTGCGCGCGCCGCCCAGCCAGCCGCCAGGGTAGAGCAGCTGGAGGCGTCAGGGCCCGCCGGGCCTTTGGGGGTCCACACGGGTGCGTGTCCAGATGCGCGCGTGTGTGGTGTATTTGGTGTGTACGTGAGGGCGCACGCTGGTGTAGATACCGTGCGCGTGTGTGCACGCGAGAGTGTGCTGGTGCGGGTCCGTGTGCACGCCCTGTGCGCGGGCCGGTTAGGAGTGTATGTGTGCGGATGGAGCGGTGTGCACGCCTTTGTGCAGCTGTGCGTGTGTGCAGGCGCGCTCCCCCGCGCACACCGAGGGCAGCCTTTGTGTGTGCGGGAAGGTGAAAGCTGAGGGGCTGCCCACCCCAAGGCCGAGTTCCTGGCGGCGCCCCTGGTGGGGTAGGAATGGGGGGTGGAGGGGGACTCTGGGTGCCTGGCAAGGCAGTCGACCTCTGCTCCACCCTCCCCTCAACCCAACTCCCCACCCTTCTGGAGAGATAACACCCAACAACCCAACAGAGACAGGAAGCAGGGGTGGAGGGGGCAGGAGAAGACAGCGACAAAGCTGGGGCACTGATGAGGGTGGGAGGGGGACCGGAGGGAGCCAGGGCAGCGGTAGTGGCTGCCTGAAAAGAGGAAGCCATGAGAAGAGGAGATAAGGAAGAGGGCATAGAGCGGGCCTGCTCTGCCTGGGAGTCTGGCCTGGTGAGGTAGCAGGATGCAAAGTACCCTAGCCCAGCTCCACAGGCTGCTGTGGGTGACCCGGCACATCAGCCCTCTCAGAACCAGTCTCCAAACATGTAAAGTGGGAAACTAATAGCAGCTTGCAGAATTGGCCATAGGTGTCTGCTAGTCTCCCCTGAGTGCCTGACACACAGTAGGTGCCAGGGGGTGTTAACCCATCCCCCTGCATGCCTCATGGTGTCCTCTGAAATCCTGGCTGAAACCCTGCTTTGTCTGAGTGTGAGGTCTTTCGCTGCTGGG